CTCCCCCCCCCAACCCAAACTGCAAATTTTTGAAAAACCCAAACCGATGCGCTTAAGTAGGTCGTGGTATTTTTTCCACTTCTACCGAACGACTGCAGAAATTTTTGTAATTTTTCGTTTTGAAAATGTTTTTCTTCATGCCATATTCAATATTAGACAACACTTGAATTTTTATCTTTTTTAGTGTTTTCTAGTAAAAGCTTTATCGACTTTTGAAACTTGAATGATAGTTTATGAACTTCCTAAATTAAGAATAATTTTCCAGTTTTGAGAAAATATTTTGAAAAAGAAATGAATTCAAAACTGGTTATCGATCAGTCAAAATGTTCAGCAAATTATTCTTAATTTTAAAATTAAATCCAATAGTTTATATGTTACCATTGAAGTTCTAAAAATGGGTGCAGCTCTAGAAAATAGTAAAGAAAATACAAATTAGAGTAATGTCTAATATTGTAGTATAACATAAACAATTAATATGCGTTAAAAAAAATACAATTATAAAATTGCAATTATTCCAATAATTGGTGTTAAACGATTCACCAGGTACAAATCATTTTAACAATGTGACAAGGAATAGCTCTTTATTCTTTGTAGATGATTTAAGATTTAACTACAAAAAGCTCATGTTTTTATTTTTGCAGAAGAATTTCCCAAAGAGTTCACGAGAATACATTAAAAAAATTATTTTTTTTTTATAAAATGATAGAAGACATGATATTGTTGTTAAGCCCATTCGCTGTAAGATTACCGTGTAAGGATTAAGTACTTTTGGCCTACTTTCAATTCTAGTTGTCCGTTCTGGAACATTGCATTTATATAATATGATATTAAAAAAAAATATAATAATAATCGCAATTTTCACAAAGAGAAAAATAGGAAAAAAAAACGTTAAGTGCCGTGTAGCATATTGTGTACCTAACATGTACTTTGGCCGTATACATGTTACACTGAAAACAATAAAATTTAATGAAACTTATAGTTTGTTCGCAGGCTGGATTAAAAAGTTTAATAAAAACACCGGGTTTCGGATTAAAGCTTATCGTTTTTATTTTAAAACTTTCAACTTTTTTTTTATATTTAGAAACGGAAAATCCCGTTTAAAGTTAAATATACTCGCTAACAACCTCTTTAACAGTATACCTTGTTATTTATTTTTTTTATTTTGTAGTTTTTTTTTTTATATGTTAACAAAATCGTACAAGAGTGCGTGTTAATAAAACGACAGTGGCAGCTACTGCTAGCAACTATACTTTACTGGCTTCATAATTGTTTTTTTAAATATACATATATAATATGTAATAAGTCTTGCTACTTGTTTTAAAATCATAAATAAAATATACACACACATAATTTTTTATGTATATTTAAATATATTTAAATTAAAAATTAATAATTTAATTTAATTATATTATAACTGTTAATGTTTTACTCTTTCCCTTTTCCTTTATCCGACTTAGTGACGTTGGCTATACTTCCAAAAGAGTATTGGCCATCTAAATCTGGCTTCTATATTTTATTAATTATTAGTAAGATGGCCGCTGTGAAAATATCCTTGCGATAATCCTACTATAACTGTTTCTAAATGCTCCTTTCGTTTAGTGCCCGCTGATGCAGCTCACCCTCCCTTAATTATTAGTGGACATTATTTTTTCTAGTTATAATCCGCACCATTTGAGTATAATATATAAAAAAAAGGCACACAAACAATTTAAATTAACTAATGATCTTAACGCGTGTAATGAATTTTCTTGTCTTAGAGAGCACCGAGTAAGCTGGAACCTAAGAACTTATGGTGTTGATTTCAATTAAGGCTGACTTGACATCAACTAACCCTAGTTTAGTGTTTAAGAGTACATTCACAGTGGCTCATGTGTACACAATTGACTGTGCGAGTGCATTTAATACTAATAAAAATAAATTGCCAAAAGCGATGGAGCTATTTACGGTACTTTTGGCTTTTTTTGGAACGAATCCAGGTTCATAACATTATTTTAATCGTCGGAACGAAGGGATAAATATGAATAATTGCCAGGTAAAAAGAATTTCACAACCATGCCAGTTTTGGCGAACAAAATATTATACATTCCTACAAGAATTTTTCAAAAGTTTCAATTTATGTGAATAGGAAAGTTTTCCGGGTCCGGTAGACAGTGTATGTATATTTATAATTTTTACTTATGATAAACCTTTACCTTACTCGGTTAGGTCTGTACAAATCACACGGTACGTGCCTTTTACCGTATGAAATAATAATAATACATCTACAATTATTTTCATTCGACGCTATTTTTGAGAACACAACAACAACGTTCTTAAATATTTAATTAGTCTTTATAAAATAAAAATCTATAACAGTAGCAGTAATTTTTCGGGTATATCTTTACTGAATTTTGTTTGAAAATTTGATTGATAATTGTAAAATATGTAATATGTATTTTTTTTTTAATAATGTAAAGGTTAACAGATAGTGTATTTTAAGAATATTAGGAATGATATTTAATTATGGAAAGATTATGCGTTAAGGGCTAATTTTTTTTACAGTTTCTTAAGACTCTTTAGCTTAATCTATATTTCAGATTTCAAAAGCAACGGTGAAAATACGCTGGCATTGCTGGAACTCGGCCGGCACGCTTGCATGTACATCAGGCATATTATATAGCGTTGGTCGCGTGTCGAGGAGAATATTAATTATTAAACGGTCATGAGCAGCTGGGTTTGAATTGTTTATTTGATTTTTGAAAGATACCCGGAAAACTACACCTAGGAAAAGGAATAGCGGTTGTTTTTCCACAAGGGCAAAAAGGGAAAAGTACCTACGCGGACCAAACATTTACAAAACGAAAAGTTTTCAACGTTAATTTTTAATCACATCCGTAAATATACCACTGTGCAGAGACTGTGTTTGCCGTTGGGTTGGTTGCAATGTCCGCATATAAATTCAGCTGAAAAGTTTGCTGGGAAATAACATTCTGGCGTGCCCTCGTCACGTCCGGCCAGGTGCTCTCGAACGGCAGCAATATTGAACCAATTGGCCAATCATATCAGGCCAGTGTGGATTAGTAAAAATCCTAAGGATTATATCTTAATCCTTATAGGAGATCCTGTGCGTGAGCGACATAACGTTAAACCGATCAGCCGAATCCAGTAATTGGTACACCCAAAATTATTATTCCACCAGACCCCCCGAGTATACTTAGACCTCGGCACGTGTGGCTAACCAAAATTAGAAATAAATAGCTTCAAACGTCTGCCGATCAGACGACCGAAGACATCTTCGACATTTTTGGGGGTTCAAGAAATTGGGCTGGAACTCAACTGAACCGTGCGGTTAGTTTTCAACGTCTCACGGTCAGAGTGAAGAATATTTTTTATAGTATAGTATGTATTCTATTGTCATGAAAAAATTATTTTGTAAACTGATGTGGGCTCAATGTGTGTCAACTAATAGGTGGTTTAAATTTGTCGAAGACGTTTGTCAAAAGCGCCATAAACGAAAGACCGGTGCCGGTCACGATTACTGTATACTAAAAAAAGTAAATAAATAATAATATGTACGGTATTCGTTATTTGTGTGTATACACAGGGTGACTTTTTTTTTATCGTAAGCCAGTCAATATCTCAATGGGTTTGATGTTATTAATGCCATTTTTTATTTTCATATAATGTGATCTCAATTTTCCACAAATAATGTTCCTACCACCCTATTAGACTAATTATTTTTATATCAACTTTATAAATCTACATGGTAACGCATATACTTCGTTAACTTATTAAATTGAAAATAATGTACTAAACATTTTGACTGGTCGACAACCAATTTTGGATAACTATTTTTGAAGTTATTCAAGTTTCAAGTGTAGGGCAAGAGAAATGAAGGAGCGTAGTATTACTTCTATCCTAACTTTTAAAACTCTTATAACTAGTCAAAATTCTTAATTTTACACCGTATACTATACAGTATGCAACAAAAGTGCAATGTTAAAGATATTGGAGCGGTTCGCGATAAAACGATCACCCTGTATATTTATGTGTAATTGTAATCAACGCATCCCTCTAGCGGCTATTCAACGCACAATCCGTTTACGACCGGCCCGTTAAGTCGGTATTTTAAAGATGTAATAAAAAAAAAAAGTAAAATTCATTTCGCAGCAATCACGTTCGGCGTAGGTCCAGACACGTCTCAGGCCCGGTAATTGTGCTAGTTTATTCTCCCTGCCCGTCCTATAAAAGGGGTTTTTATTAATTTTATCGGCATCCAACTTTTGTGTGTGTTTACTCTGATCAAGAAAGTCCGGTGGCTGCGGTTTAATTAAAAATTTCCACTCAAAGTGAACCCCCCGCGGACGAGAAAGCACACACACGCAGAGCATCCGCGAGGTCAGGTCAGGGCAAATAAATTTTATTGTTATTCCAGGTACCCACGAAAAGTATATGGCTGCTGAACCCAGACTTGGACAATCTTATCGTTCGTCTTGAACGTACACTGTTTTTTTTTTGTATACAATGATTTAGAATTTTCTCTGTGAACGCTATCAGTAGCTAATAAACATGCCAACCTCTTAACTTGGCAAAGGGTTAATTATTAAATATCAAAAGTAACAGTACATGGAAAGTTATATTATATTATATATAAAATATATGTACCTTTAAAGATACAATGCCAAGATAAGGGCTAAGCAACAAAAAGGTGACTTGAGCAATCAGTCTAACTAATGTTAACCGTTTCTCCTGAAAACGTATGTAGCGCAAAGCTTATTAAACACGCCATCATCAAAGTATATTATAATTTGTTTGTTAATTAAAATTTTGTTGAGTTGATTCAAGTATGGAATACTCAACATTAAGTATTCATTCTAGTTACATTCAACAAGACTTGGTTAATTTTTAACATCACACAAATATTTGAAAATATTTTCTATCGTTTTAACTTGCACTGGCACACTATTGGAGTGATTTAAGTATGAGTTTTAAAAATTAAACATAAACTGTGTTGTTTGTACCTGTATTGCAACGGACCAGTGGCAAGGCGATTACAAAGCAGACCCATGCTGGTAAACCAAAGGCGGTGGCACATGCCATGTCTTCGGATGGTCACTCAAGAAAGCAGATTTACCACAATACGTATGTGTCCACAGAATCCATCATTTTCTTGGCTAAGGTTCTGAAACAAACGCAAAAACATATATATTTCTTATATTCGTACAATGTGTGAGAGTAGTCTAATAGAACAATGCGGTGTTAAATAAAAAAAAAAATTTGCATTTCGGATGTTGTTATTATATTATTGCAATAATAAAAACCGGTGATTTATACCGTCTCGGTTGTCGTTTTTGCCAAAACGCCGTAGCTGCAGGTATGTAGGTAGGTATATAATATAATACGGGCTAAGCCAAACGGAGGGGTTTTTTTTTTGTGAACCGAGCTCTGTTTTAGGACTACAGGAAAATTGGGGCCAATAAATCTTTCCAAACCAAACACGCCCCCCCCCCCCGTCGCTTTAACGTTGTTGTTTCGTCGGTACTCCTGCCGGAAACAAGCTGCACCGCCAACAAACGTTATTTAATCAGACTGCACACACATATTTACATAATCAAATGTATTTTAATGGGGATTCAAATTCCAAATTGAAAACCTAATTAAATAGGCAGTATAACATCAACAACAACAACGGTAAGTAAACAGTTTCCGTGTACCTACTGCTAAGATAATGTTAATCGAAACATTTATACAAGTTAAATTATATTATAATATATAATTATTTAGACCTGAAAAGTGTGTATATTCTAGCTGCTGAGAAGGTGTACTGTTTTTACAATGATGGGTTTTTTCGGTCTGGACTTACAAGTCTATGGATCATATAAATCTTACATGAAAGGTACTTTGTTGGGCCAAACCCTTAAAATATTTACCTATTTTCCTTCAAAATAGATAAAAAAAAACCCAAAAATGTAAATATTTTTCAACTTATAGCATGCTATAACTTTTTAATAAAAAGTAGTCAAATTTCTATGAAATATGGATAAAGAACTGTCGATAAACTTTAACAAACCAAACAAAGCCCTAGAAGACGTTTCTCCTACAAAGGGTGGGAACTATTTTTTCCTAATGTTTTTAATTGCCATCAATGGGCAACAAAATATAACCTTAATCTTATCCACTCTAATCCTAAAATTGTTTAGCACATTATTGTCACAACAATGCTTTTACCGATACTATTATTTTTACACATAATTTTTTCAATTATTTTGAGATTAATGTGGTGGTTTTTTTACTTTTCTAAAAAAAGTTTTTGAGTTTAAAATATTAGAAATATTTTCAAATTTCGGGCAACGCGAAAAAACCTACTTTTTAGAGTATAAACCTGATTCTTAGTCATTTTTTTTTTTTTTTTTTGAAGGCACTCATCGACTTAGCATTTGCATAATACACAACATTATCATCACCGTCGACACAGCAGCAGCAGGATTTACTATAGGACACGTCATAAGAGACAATGGGGAAAATTATGGAAATGAGTGCGATGCTTACAATGCTAAGCTATATAATAGTACACAAGCCGTCTTGAGATAATCGCCGGTATCAGTGTGTATGGGTTAATTAGTCGGATTTAATTACAGCTGCAAGCCGGCTCGACCGGATGGATTTAAAACTCAACTCGTCAGCGTCATTGTCTCGTCACGGCGTTTAAGTATGTACGGTTTCCCCGGACCTGATAATGAGATGTGTAGTAGCTGATAATATAATGTGTATAATCTAGTGCCAGCACGCCAAAGCAGTCGGATAATTGCATCCTCGTTGTACTTACGCTAATGACTATGGGGGTAGTGCAGGGTGGAAAAGCAGCTTAAGAGAACTAACCGAACCGCTTTGTGTGTACAACCGAACAAGTAAAATATACTAAGCAACGGGAGTACTCGTTAGAAAAACCAATCATGGTGTAGGTACATTCCGAATGGGCAACAATTAAATTTTATTTCTGGTCAAATGCTTTACAAGCTGCGAGGAATATATCTTAGGGCCGTTCGTATTTATAGTCAGTTCTTAAGCAATGCTTGTTCTTAAGAACTGACTATAAATACGGCCCTTAGTGTCTTCCACTGGAAAGAAGTGTTCACGGCGCCGAGAAGACGCTAAAACACTTAAATACTGTCGTAAAGACAATAATTGTTTTTAAGGAAATAAATTTTAAGTTTTAACTCTAACAACACTTGGAAAATACATACATGTATTCACACAGAATTGTTATCATTTTCCTCTTAAGTCTGAAGACTCAGCTGTTTCATCAGTATCTTATGATTTTTTCTTAGAACGTTTCATAAAAAAAAAATGGCAACAAGAAGATCTCGAAAATCATCATCATCATCAAGCTATTTTAAATTTGCTAATCCTATAAAAATTTACTTAAAGACCTTTTTTCCATACCAAAATTTACCTCTTATATTCTTTTACATTCTACGACTATTTTCAATAATAAGGTATGTTATTTTCTGTATAAACAATATTTACAGTGTAATTTTTTATTTTAACAAACGATGTTGGGATAAATTCTCTCAATAAAAATACAAAAAACACATACATGAAACCTGCAATTCTCAACTCCCATAAATATATTACAATTTACAGTCTAGAAAATTATAGTATAGTGTTGTAATAAAAACAAATGTTGCTGGAACGCCAGTCATTGCCAAACATATTATAAAGTTTAATTATTTAAAAAAAAAAGTCTAATTAAATTAATATGTATGACCTGTGTCATGACGAAATGTGTAGTGCACACATTATACTATTTGAATGTATTCAGCAAATAAGAATTTGACGTTTCTTATGTTAGCAAAATATACAACTGCATAAAACTGCGTCTCTGCTGTTAAAAGTATAAAAAGTACAGTTTAAAACATGCAAATTATTCGAGTTATGTAAAAACATATTATACTAAACGCAATTGAGGAAGACAGTAGCTACAGTAATAAAAACCCTCTCGGGCAATTTGTAAACATAAAATGCAGGAGGAAATTAATTAAATTATATTCATTTTAACGCATTATATATATATATGTATAGCAGTATAATCGTTTCTCTTTAATGTTTATAATGGAACAAATCGATTAGGATTAAACATGCTTAATAGTTCAACGGACAAAACACTTGGCTGTAGCTGATATTTTTACATCAATAAAAAAAATGTAATATATTATAATTTATTTTCTAAAAATGGTTTTTTTATATCGTTTAACAATGGACAAAATATGACTTTTAAAAGGCCATTTTTTAGTTTTATTTTTTTATGATAGAAATTATCAGAGTACAGGAAAATAATTATCATGTTTTTCTAAGAATACTATATCTAACAAAAATGTCATATTTTCTACTCTTTTGATTAATTAATTTATACACAGATGTCAAAGTTCAAAAATTAACGTCAACCATATTTAAGATTTCTTGTTGCCTTAACCTGAATTTGTTCTTATTGTATTACCATCATTGTCACTCTCACTCATAAAGGATCAGTGGCATTTATTGAATTGGTTTAGAACCATCAATTATTATCCTATGCATAATTCTAGAAGTCATGAACATTGATATTATAGCAGGTTAGCTGATAATTGCCTCAACGCCAATGATCCTTCATGACTTTGTAACATTTAGAGTGAGTGCCATGCAAATTGGCACTTTTCTGACCGAGTAAGTTTTTTGGGACCATCAAAAGTTTCCCATTATTATCCCACAGCCTTTTGCCGTATCAATATTATAAGAGCTAGTTATTCCGTTATACATTAACTAACTTGAACTAACATTCGAATCTACCAAATAAGTGTTGTTAGTATGAAAAACTGCATGAGAAATTTTCTATTTTCAACGGTTAATTTTTGAAACTTAACTATAAAGTTCAGGTAGGCCTAATAAATTATCACATGTACAATGCTTGAGATGTCTCCGATTTAGTAATCTTAGACTAATAGTGGCCATTGCATTGACAAATAGGTATATTTAAAAACGACTTTGAGTCATTTAAAAAAGGATGTCTTCGAGTTTATAAAAATAAAACTTGATAGCTATTGAAATTGTGTCCTTCGCGGAAGCAGCTTCGATTATTATGAGGTCAAAATGGTTTTATACCCAGAAACTACTTTAAATAAGATGTTTGATAAAAACGTTTTCCTGTCCCAGCCAAACCCATTTCCTTCGTTTTGCCCTTAAAAGTCCTCAAGTTCTCTAAACTGTAGTTTTTAAAACATATTTATCAAAAACGATTAAAAGATTGAATTCTATGTGTAAAACATTAAACACAGGAAATAACAGTTAAACTGAAAACGAATTTCTAGCACACACAGCCATTTGTACAAATTTATTTTGTTTCACCTTTAAAATTCTAGTTGTACAAAAAAATGCAATTTAATTTTGCTGGTTATCGACCAGTCCAAATTTTTAGTACATTATTCTCAATTAAAAATGTTAAAAAAATATATGCGTTACTATTAAGTTTAAAAAATTGCTATAAAAAAAACTAGATTGTGAGGGGAGAAAAAACAAAAAAAATTGTAAAAAATTTAATTCATATTTTATAAACACAATATGAAAAAAAAAATGTGATGTCTTATTAACCCCTATGAGATATTGAGGGCTCACGATTAAATGATCACCATATAGTAACACTGTAGTATAATATAAATACTAATAATATATTATAGTAAACATTATGGTAGCTTCGGCGAGGAGCTTAGAAGGTATTGATTTTACAACGATATGTTTTTATCATTATTTTCAACTCAACAGATCAGAAATCGTACCTAAAAGGTACTCTTTGGGTCCGAAATTTAAAAAGTTTACCAACTCAAAGAATGTGTCTACCTATTTCTCAAATTAACTTACATATATTTTTTTTTCGATTCTTAGTCTGTAGAAGACAATAGAAATAAAATAAGGACTTTTTTTTTTTGCTTTTATTAGATAACAATATGATGATGGCTCGACAATTGCATAGGAAAATAAGGACTTGACATTGGCCGGATTGGCGTTTGTTTTAACCGCATAAAGATATGAAACAAACACCTGTCGATGGTGGACTGGCGTTTTAAAATCGCCGCCCTCTCCCCACTACAAACCCTTCACTCGAGGGTTAATTTCTTTGGGTATAGGATTTAGGTATCTCATCAATATTCATGCGGCCATGATCGTCTCGATGACGGCACCGTGTAAAACAAAGTGTTGCTGGGAGATTATATTGTGCCAAGATCCGGTTAGGACAGGCGGTGTATGTATTGCCATCTATGTAAACCGAGTAAGGTCTCCGAGGGGGTTATCATATTATTATTATTATTATTATTATAATCATTTTACTCGTACACAATTTATCCGTGGGTGTTGGATTATCAATGTTGTGTACAAACCATACAGCCTTCCCCTTTTTTTGAAGGGGAGGGGACATGCAGTAATCCCGGGTACGTGCGTTTTTCCCTATACCAGCCCGAATGTGAGTAATAATAACAACAACAACGATATTGTGTATTATGTATACACACTATGTATGTATAAAACCAACACGAGGGGTCTGAAAAATAACAATTACACATTTTGCCACTGGGATAACCAAGTGCACGTTTTAATAGGGGAATTGTTAACTACGACTTAAGGGGACGTGATTCCACCTCCCTATTTATTAATGAGTTAGGTATATCTTAATTTAAAGCTTAAATATTGTAATGTGTTACATTATTAGATTTATTAAAACATCTCTGCACTTAAAATATGTTGTCTACAGGAAGCTTCTTGAAAACAGACCGCATGCAATTACCTAAACGACAAGCTAAATTTTGTGGATTAACACAGGAAAGAGGGATCTATTTCTATAGTTGAACTTATTTTTTTTTTGTATAAAAACTTATTATAGTAAACACCTTGCAATCAGCTGTTCAGGACTGATAATGTTTTATTGAAAACCATTTAAGATATTTATGAGACTTTTGACCACTTGCTATTTAAAGATAACCTTTAATTGTATTAAATAAATATTGATTCGTACATAATTAACTTGTTTAATGTTCATACTTGTAATATGTATTCTTATTTAGACGTTTCCCTAATTTTAGAAAGACAAACTTTTAAATTTGGATTTTAAAGTTTACTTTGAATAAATATATACATATTGTTCACTCAAAACATTATCATTTTAAATAATTTTTAGTAAAAATATTAAATTTTGTTTTTAATAATAAGGCAAAAACTACAATTTATTTATGTATTCAGTCTTAGAATGTGTAATCAAAATAATGTTTATTTGTTATTTAAAAATTTGAGACATAAAATTAGTTTGATACTCCTTTTATTACAGTCAGGTAAAATAGTATCAGTTTAACACAAACTGATGTTGTGAATTTACAGAAATTATCAATTTATTTGTAAACAATATAATAATAAATAACGATGGTATAAAAATGGACTTCCATTCGGTTTCAATTACTGTAAATACGTTTTTGGGTAACCTTGTAAGTCAAAACACATTTTATACAGTAAGACGCCAAAACACTAAAAAAGGAACTTACCTTTTTATAGGCGTTTATTATAATAAATTACACTTAATGTACATCCTGATTTATTTACTTAGTCAGATCTTATAACAAAGTCGACATTCAGAATTTTCCAGTTACCAACTGCAAGTTTCATGTATATATTTTTTTTAAATATATTTTTTAGTCGGCTATAAAAAAAAATCTAATAATTATAATAACGTTAAATATGTTTCTTGGGCCATAATAGTGGAACTAATTGCTAATAAAATATTATGTTCTTAGTTGAACGTCACACGAGCAGTTTAAACTGAAAATAAATATCATGTTAAGGTATAATTATATAACAGCTATAATAATATGACGTGATTACTTTGGCCTATGACTTTTATTCTTGTCACAACAATCAGCACATGTCCTAATAACAGACCAAAACACCTTACAGCCTTGACTGTATCAAGTATAAAAGGTACGTGATCCATGGCCGGTGTCGGTAGTGTGACAACCGGTGTAAATCATATTGAAAAACGCAAAAGCTGTGCTGCAGTTCACATTAAAATGAACTCCAAAATTCCGACTGGGTTCGTGTGTCTCGTGGCAGTGTTCTCGGTCGCATCGTCGGCTGCTACTAAAAGTGCAAACGAAGAAATTAAACTATCTCAAGAGGACCTAAAAAAGTACATAGCGATAATGGAAAGCGTTAATGTCGAGCAAGTCGTCAACAACGAAAGATTACTTAACACCCACTTGAAATGTTTTATAAACGAAGGGCCTTGCGTTCCACAGTTCAAAGACCTGAAGAGTAAGTATAAAACCCAATATGCATTCACTGTACAAAGTTTCTAGCTTGCAATATATACTATATATATATATATATATATATATACGTAACACTTAAAAAATATATTATGGAATGTTACACAACGCCTTTTTAATTAAATTTTCACTTTTCAGACTACCTTAGTTATTTATTTTTCATTATCAACCTATAGCTGATGAATACCTCCACTAACCTTGTGTAAAATATATAATAAATATGCATAGAGAAAGGTTAAATTAAAAAAAAGTTTCAATCCAAAATTCCCAAAACTGCATTCTAAAGCAGAACTCTGGTGCACACCTACTGTACCCTTAAAATCTGCTGTTACTCCACACATACTTTTGACACTTGTAATTGAATACATATCCTCTATCAAACTAATAACCTAAAAGTTTAAATACCTAAAAAAAATCTTCATTGTACTAAATTCCTTTTTATTTTTACAGAAGTGTTACCGGCATTGGTAAAAGACAATTGCTCGCTGTGTACCGATAGCCAAAAAGAATTAGCCAAGAAAGTGAGAGAGCAAATTAAGACCAAGCATCCAAAAGAATTTGAAAAATTCGTCAAACTGTATGATCCCGACGGTGTGTTATCGAAACAGAGATAATAAGAAAACAAATACGTTCAAGAAAAACCTAAAGATATTCAATCCGAACTTCTTGGTATACACAAAAAGCAACAGTTTACTTTAATAATACATTATGTATAAAATATAACTTAATGTAGTTATTACACACAGGTAATTAAACAATTATTCTGATGTACTAATTACAGTGGATTTTTTAATAATATTATTGTCAATAGTATAATTTGTTGTCTTATTTTCATGATTCAAATATATTCAATGATATTAATGTTTGGATGATTAAAAAACTGATTAATATTTTTTATAATTTGGAGATTTTAACTTTAAGAGTGTTATTTTTAGAATTGGCAAACAAAAACAGTCAACGGCATTGTATAGAAATAAATATAGATTTTTTTTTTTTGGTTCTTCTTCAAATTTATTATATACTTTATTATTTTAGTTCATGGAAAATGAGTTGTTATTACAGTGTTATATTATATTTATTTATGTATATTCATATGTATATTTGAATTTCGATTATTACAAAAGTAAAGCCCCCTCCGAACAAAAAAAAAACACATAAGTTTTTATTTAAAGAAATTCGGATGAACTGAATAAAAACAAAAATATTATAAGGTGAAATTTCTTTCTTTCAAAAAAAAAATAATAATTACGCTATAATAATATTTGCACAGCCATATTGGTTTTTTGGAATCGCCCAGAACTGATCGGTTATTGAATAAATTGCTATGGAAAATATAATATAATATCCTTTCTGGAGTTTCTGGAGTAGCTCGCTGTTTTTTATTCAATACTAAAAATAACAAAATCTTAATATTCAATTCCACCGAAACACAAATACATTTCAAACGGCCCGACGACTGATGTACCTCAATCGTTAAGTATTCTTTTCCAAACAATTATTATAGTATAATATTAACAAAAACGTCGACAGTGTAAATTGAAAATAGTTTTCAAAAAAAAAATCGCGTTATGACTTAAAAAACTTCTTTCAAACTTATTCCAATTTTATATAATCGCTTATCACACTACATATTGACCTCGAGTATACTTACATTATTCTGGCTGTATAGTCTCCATATGTTTCCTACACACTACTAATAAAATGCCCAACAACTAAGTTATTTCATAATTAGGTATACTTTATTAGTTCAGGAATTAATTCCTAAATAGTTTTTAATATTCCCATAGCTGTTATTCTTGGACTACATTAAAGCAATAGACAAAATAAAAAACTACAACCGTTTAAAAATAAAAATATATTATATTGTATAGTTTAAAAAAAACAGCACAGTAGAAATATGGTATACAGGGTGATTCATTCGAGGACGTTAAGGATAAAAAATAAATTAATATGTTAAGTAATAATTTTGAATGTCACTCGTATTGTCTCCTAAAATACAAATCTATTTTAAAGTTTTTTTTTTTTTAGAAAACATTTTTATTATTAAAATTAAAATTACTAGATATTAACACCTTATTATTTTAGTATTTAGACAAAGGTCTATTAACTTTTGAAACTTAAATGGGAGATCTATTTAATTAATTTTATGAAAGTAGAATAATTTGCTGAAAATTTTCACTTGTCGATAACCAAGTTTTGGATAATTACTTTTTAAAGGTGCAAGTGCCGCTTGAGTAACCCTTCCTCCTGTCCTAAACTTTAAACTTTATTAACTTTAAAAGTAATTATCCAAAATTGGTTATCGACCAGTCAGCATTTTCGGCAAAATAATACTTCATTTAAAAAGTTAATTATATAATATATATTATACATAAGTTACCGTTTAAGTATTGAAACTAGGTAGAGCTCTGGGAAAAAATCCAAAAAGGTAAACATTTGATTATTGTCAAATTACATAAACTAAATTGTCTCCAAAAAGAAAACAAATCGTTGTATAAAACATTTATTACGTGTGCTTTTTAGTTAACTTATATGTTACTTTTGAGTTTGGGTTTTTTTTATAAAGCATAATTTATACAGTTTATAAACTTAATAAGATTATATTAATTTAACCAATGTAAGTACGCCTAGAATAGTTGTGTACTTCAACAGCCGGCGATATGCGACAAGTCACCCGGAATAATCGCTCCTCCCCCCCCCCTCCGTTAGTGGTTGATAAGCGACCGAACAGGAGGACAGCAGAAAGGGTAGGGGACGGGGTTGTTTATTATTAATAACTTAACGGGTTTTGGAAATCAATATTGAAGGGCGAATCAAGACGAATAAAGTATTAAACTATCTATTTTTTTCCCTTTTGCTTGGCGAATTGTTGTCTCCGGCGCTATATCTCTCTCTGTCTCTGCGCATCTTCTTCTATCTGTCTCGCCTTACCGTTGGCCCATTCGATTTCTTTGTAGACGTTGTTGTATCCGAGGAGAAAACCTATTAATCCAGGTGTTGGCGGCAATAAATCGTCTTTTGTCGCCCTTTGCGAAAAAATCTAGTTGATATATGTCGCGAGCAAAGTAAATACGAGATTTCACACTACCTTAGACGGTGCCGGGTAAATAGGGGAGAGAGGGAGACTGAAAAACGACCAAATCCCATTGTACTTAAGGGTGTCGTGCCGTATGTACAAGTATATATACACAGACACGAACGGTCCAATAGTTATTTTTATCTTATATTTTTATGTAACACCATCGTTATTGGAAAGCTCAGAGCTTGGTATTTGTTATTTTTATTTAACCATAACTATCTAATCTTAACGAAACAGCCGAGTCACAATTATATTGTAATTGTTTTCATTTTGGTTTTGACATTTTCATGTCTTAGCTCTGGCACGTAACCGAAAAAACTGTTAGTCGCCAAAAACTTGTTACTAAAAACTGTTACGCTATTATCTGATAAGAGTTAAGAGATGAGGAATGGGGTTGGGGGTGGGAGTGGGTGCATATATGTTGTATTCATAACGTTCAAAATAGAACTGAATAATAAATTCAATAATTTAAGAGGCCGAATTCTCTATGAATTGTTTTAGGCCAGATATTATGAAAAAACTAAAATATTAGCCAGAAACTTGATATGTTTTAATATACTAGCCACCTTGGATACTAGCTTGATGAGACGAGAGAAAATGCTCTTTCGTGGTTATAAACGTGTCCAGTATTATTTACATTTATTCGTATTGACTTTCATTCATACCTACAAACAGTGTTTTTTAGGTAAAGGCTTGTCGTTGGCATATGCAGACTAGATGAATAGTCCTTGTTTTTGAAAGCGAAGCCCCCAAAAGGCTTCAAATTCTGATTTATTTTTTAGATTTTTATCGTTCTCCCTTTGTCTTTATTGTGTAGGTTAATAGTTAAGGCTTTTCGTTGAAATAGAAATATAGAAAATGCAAAATAGTCTTTTTCGGAGAGGGTGTAAAGACTACACTGATAAACCCTAACAAGTGTCGATAGAGCTGGCACATGGCTTTATATTTCTTTTCCAACAGCCCTTCTAACACATACCTCGGCAAGGTATGTGAACGAGTAGGGTGAGAATAAGCAACCTTTATCTCGCACTAAAGGGAATATCAATCCTAAACCCCAATCCGACCGTTTTCGACACTTTATCCACTGCACTGCACATGTCAGAAAACATTTAAACTAAACACATCCAACGAAATTCCATTAGGGAAAGTACCAATGGGCTATTGGTATATAATAATAAATTTATATCAATTAAAATAATCTCCCAGTGTCAAACCAACAGTTCTCAATTAGCTCAAAGTACTGGCCCAATAAGTAATATTTGTTGGAATCATTCAAAATTAGTTCTTTGAATAGAAACTAAATAGAAATTATTACAAAAAGAGACATTTCATATAATTTTTTGGACAAGTTATTTTGTTGTTTTTCTGTAAATCGTTACATCAACAAAAAATAAATATTTCCTTCAGAAAAACATCTATGTACGTTTTGCTCAGACTAATTGGCGAAATATCAACAACAACAAAAAATCACTGGACAAATTAAGCCACTATCGAAACAGGTTCTCACAAATGTACGTTTTCCAAAAAACATTTAATTAGTACTACATATTATTTCTACCTGCGTCGTCAGGAAATTCTGCTGAAAGAACAATATAAGAAAACAGTACACGTCTTATTAGATCACATCGATGGTTGAACTATATGGTGGCAAACAGCACATAGGAAGCAAACAAACACAAGCATAAAAAAATATTTACAAAGAAGCAACATAAGACCAAAACAAAATCTTTATGTACTCCTCTATAAATCCCACACAAACACCTATCGTGGAAGAGTAAGTAACTATCTGTTTCAGTAAGTAAGTATATATATATATATATATATATATATAAATGTCATGACAGACACGAGAGATCATTGACTAATAATGAACATTTAATTATTGAATAACAACATTTTTTCAAAAGATTAACAATACTTTAAAAGTTTATTTTTTGTTAATTTTTTCTTCGGGAATTTTAGGAAATGTAAAGTTTGTGTTAAATATTTTTTAATTACAGTTTTAATATTTCAACTTAATTAAAACTAAGACGTTATCGATTTATACATATATAACATTATTAGGCAAAAGTGTTTCTAGAACTATTAGGTGACAACCAGACATTCAGCTATGCATTATCTAGATAAATATTATTTAAGGTATCTTTTATCTTATCTCAATCAAAAAAAAAATTACCTCTTGAACAATTATCTAGATAGTAAATTTGTTAAGGTTTGGGTGTTTTCATTGAGCGAATTTAGCATTAATTTTAAACCGTTATTTCATAGTTAAATTATTATAGCTATACATCTTATGACACTCGATAATAAGATAATTATGCAATATTAATAAAATATGACGACAGTGTTATAATATATTATCAATCCAAATGTTTACATAATATAATAAACAATTACAAATTGTAAATACTTACCTTTATTTTTTATTGTGAATCGATACAATTAGTATTACTAGATTAATACAAAGTTATTACTGTACATCAATGACAAGAACAATGATTTAATTACTTGAGCAACCCATCAGACTGTGCATCCTACTTAATACTAAAAAGAAGATTAAATGTATTGTAAACTACTATTACAAATTTGAAACCCTACTTTATATGCTTTTAACTGTCGATTTATCCGGTGGTGTTCCAAAGTAAAAACATATCTCTTATCTCTCTTATCTTATCAGATAAATCAGCTGATATTTTCGTTATGATAAGAAATGAAAAAAACCGTCGATTTTCCGTGTGTGTACCAAAGCAAAGACATAAAATTAAAAATCCTGTCCCAAGTTCGATCATTGTAGTTTAAGTCGTTTATTTAAAAACGACTTAAAAATTCTTATGGTTGGCCATTTGAAGTGATATAACTAAATACT